CTGATTTTATCACCAAAGGCAGGATTATTTGTCAATATATTTCATACCTGCATAGAATAAAGATAATAATAGTGCTCTTTCATCAGATCATAGCTATTCTATTCTTTACCATCCCCCTAGCCTCAGGTGCTTTTCAGCTAGGACTCCCTCCTTTCATCTGGAGAGTCCTCATAAATAGATTCACAGTGTCCAGCTTTTCCAATATCCCTGACTATCTTGTTTATCAACACAGCTGTTTTCCATGGATTACGTACATTCTCAACCAATGTACTAAAGAAAGAAAGTGAAAGAACTGTGAGGAAAGTAGGACACAGCCAGGGATTGAAGGAAAAGCCACTGCATTTACACAAGAAAAATAAGTGGTGGGAGAACAAGAATGAAAACAAGATGATGCAAGTTAAACTTCAGGTCCTGTCTTTCAGTGAAACCCTGTGGTTCAAGACCTCATGACTTGTTTTAGACTCAGAAACATAAAAAGTCTGGACAAGAACATAAAAGACATGAAAGGGAAAATATATTCTTAATAAATTTTTACGAGGACTACATACACTTAACGTTCACTGTACAAAACTTTGTTAGAATGTTTCAAATACAATTCTTCCCTAAAAACAAATTTTGTGCCAAGGTCACAAGCTAAATTCTATCTAGTTGAAAACCGAATAAAGATACTTAAATTCTCTTCTAATTTTAGCTTTCATATTTATGATTTTCTCACAACATTCCATCCTCTGGCTTGTCCATGTGAGTACATTGATGCTATGATTCCAAAGTGCTTCAGGATTTTTTTTTTTTTTTAGAAAAATTGCATAACATTAACCTACATCGTTCTAAGATAAACTAAGTCTGTTGGAAACATGTAAAAACTTAGCATATTGCTTATACTGCGTAGCAGATCAAAAAAAGACAGAAGATTCCAGAGCGTAGAAGAGAAAGTTTGTCACCAAGATTTTGACACTAATATGATGGAAAAAGATCTAACTTCACATTTGTGTCTTCAGCTTTAAAGAAATGCTTGCTAATTTAAAAAGAAACCTGAATTTTTTCAATATTAATAGTATTTTTTCCTCTAAAAATCATTCAAAAAATGCCAGTTCAATGGTTATAAATATTTTGCAGAAATACATTTGTTTAATTAAATTTATTTTACAAAAGTTTCCTTCTGTCATTTCTAGACTGGAACATCTGCTGAAAAGTATGGTAACTGCAGACAACTGGTAATACGAAAACATGAATCTTTTTCAAATGGCAGGTATTCACTATTCATTTTCCTGAATAATTTTTGAGTCCCAATTTCTGAAGAGTGGAAAACTTGCTTCCTGCTTCATTCTAAAAAAATCAAGCATTCTCCAAGTGCAAATGGTAATAATAGTACAGCATTTGGGGCGCAAGAGTTCAATAGCTGTAAAATGCAGTATTGCAGTAATTCTAACTAACATAGAAATATATTACAGGTATGGTCAACATGTAGCAACACAAACTCCATAATGTTCAAGAGGGATCCACTTAATTAGTTGGTTAGTTGGTCTACATTATTTGCAGTAAGTATTGATCATTATTTCTACATGAAGCACAGTCAGAAATGACTCCCAGACGTAGTTATATTTGAACTTCTTGTTTCTTCTTCCCCTTAAACTTATAATTGTTTATAGATACAAGAAAATCATTTACAAGAAAATTCTGTGTCATTGCAGAAAGTCTGCAGTCCACAAAGCAGGTGCATCAATCAGGTGGCTCAATTTGAATATTTTTTAATCCTTACCCTGTAACTTTTTCGACAAGCTTATTTTCCATCTCAGTAGAGATCTATTTTTACTATTGATAGAGCAAAGGATTTTTTTAATCTATCTATAGCTATCAAGCATAGATTTGCTATTAGATCTCAGAGGTTAAATGCATTATGTTTTGCACAAGTGAAAAATTTTGATGGTTTATGTTATGTCTAATCAAAATGATGTTGACAAAGTCCAAATGTTCAAACTAAACTGTACCTCCTAAAAGAAGAGAACAAAGAAGAAAACAAAGAAGAAAACTATTGTAATCTGAAAAATAACTATTCAGTCAATGTTTTAGTCAGTGAACTACTATAAAGTGACTCCTAGCATCACTTTTAGATTCCTGTCCAGACAAACACTGTCAGTACAGAAATGATTTAAACAAGTAATTGAATAGACCAAAAATTGGGATATTTCTTTAAACATGCAGAACCCAGTCAGGTTCATGTAACACATTAAATTATAATTCACTACCTTTTCCAACCTCCACCCAGTTACAACCCAACTTTATACATCTATATTTCTTTTTCCGGATTTTTTCCTTCGGGCTCAAGTATTAGGATTTTCTTTCTATGGAGATGTAAAATACTGATTTTCTTACTGTTTCTGAATTTTAGATCATCTGCCAAGGTTGGAGAATGATGTGGAATAAATGAACACCTGCTCCTGAAAAGGAAGCTATCTCAACTGCCAGGCTTTGGCATGATGACAATAGAATGAGCACGTCACCCAGAAAATCTGTTCTAATGGCCTCTTGCCAACACATTTGTTCCCAGTAAATTTAAGGTTAAAATTGCTGTTAATAGTTTTTGTTTGTTTCTAGAACACAAAGAATTGAGTAGAACTCAGCCAAAGTCCGTGTGCTTGTGTGTGAGTGAGGGAGGAACACCCGCTTTATTCTGGTACTCTACATGTGTAGCATTTAACTCACTTAAGGAGCTGTGGTTTACAAATAACAAAAAGGAAGTTCAAAAAATTCTGTTTAATCTGAATGTCAACACCAAGATAGAACTGACTAATGCTAAATTATGGGCTTAATATAAAGCATTCAGACAAAATGCATGGTCATTTCCTGACAGCAAACTAGCAAACGTATTCAGGAATCTTAAGAGTTATATTTCCAAATACAGAAAAAAATGAATGGTCATCTAACAACTTTCATGAGAACTGTACTTCTAAAGAACAGTTTTGAGCATCAGAAACAACTTTTAACAACTTAAAATTTAAATGGGTAACATATACTTCAGGTCTGTAACTGGTTCACAAGAATAGTTCTCAGAAGTCTACATTTTTGAATACACAGTGACTTCAAAGCCATATACAGTATATTTTTGAAGTCTTATTTTCAAAACTTTGGATTATTCACTCAAACAGGTTTTCAGTCAAATACAGTGAAAATTAAATATAAGATTATTGCTCTTGGACATTTATTCAGAAAGTAAATGTGTACAAAACTGATCAAAACATTCTCCACACCTTAGAAAATAGATGACATTCATAATGGAAAAATTTAAGTCTGTCGTAAATAAAAGTTTCTCTAAGTAATAGTTTACTGAGAAAACTTCAAGTAAAAGGAATAACTTTTTGTATATTTAATATTGAAACTAACAGGGAAATTATTTTCTCTGATCGCTATCAGACTTGTTCTGCCTTAGTACTTGTGTAAAGACAGTCTTCTGTGTCAGTATATTGCAGAAGTGCAGCTTTCTTGGGTGTTTCAAAAAAAAAAAAAAAAAAAAAAAAAAAACACCAAACAAACACAACCGTAACTTTCATGGACCTGTTTGGCATGTGTAAATACAGAATCTTAAATTTTCTTTTGAAGAAACCAAAGGGCATTACTTTTTCTTGTTTATGAAGGACAGCATTAAAAGTAGCTTTGTTCTAAAAATGGAAACAATTATTTTTCTTCTTTTACTGACAACAGTTAAGGGGTTTTAGTTTTGGTTTTTAACTTGATAAAAACATTATTCTATTCAAGACTAAATGATGAGCTGGCTTAGCTGACTTATTTTCAACCAATGATCTGTCAATAAAGCTTTTTCAGAATTTCACCAAAATTTCCTTCTCCTTCTAGTTTTCTCTCTCTGTACTGGGTTGAGTCAGAGAGCCCCTTAAAAGATGCCTACAGATTTCTTCCACAAAATGTGTCTTGATGATCATAAAGCCAGGTCACTGCAGAATTTGGCTACGTAAGACATATCATTGGCATCTTAACCTGGAATGATCTGTACAAGATTTTAAAGAGCACAAAGTCTTGCACAAGAAAGGAATCTGAACAATAATCCATTTCCATCATTTGGGGGAGGGAAGGGACTTTGGGGGATGGAGTGCTTTTCTATAAATAAAGAGGCTTTTAAAAAATTTTATTCCTTGTCATATTTCATTGCCATATTGATTGATTTCCCCCAGTCTTACTATTTGCCTTGGGGCAATTAATTACACGTGTCCTCTACTACAGAAGTAGAACACTAAATTTCTCAGAGACCACTAGAAATCAGTAGGGTAGATGTTGATTTTAAAGATAATAGCCTAAAGATATTCCAGGACTTCCAACTGAAAAATTATGTCAAATTTCAACTTGTATGGATTCCTAGTTGTGACACTTCACTTTTTCCTTGTAAAGCTGATTTTGTTTTATTCTGTCACCATTTTGTCAAACTTCTTGTCCAAAAGATTTAACAGTTCTACCACTCAAAACAATTCTATTGGTCAAAATATGGCCTACTCATCTATACCTCAGTAGATGCCTTTTTTGCTTTCACAGCCATAGCAGCTATAAAAGCAATCAGGTTCCTGGCATTTCACAAACTGTGAAGAGCAGATTTTGTGCTAGCTTTTTACTTCTTCACACAGTTAAAAGAAACAATGACCTACCAAGCTAGTACAAGATATGGGTTATTTCCAGTGCAAGCATACTGATGGCACAGAGCACTGAAATACTACTACGTGTCATGAGACACATAGAGAACAAGTAACACATGCTGATCTTTTTTTTCTCTCCCTAGCCAAGAAAGAAACAAGAGTTGTATGAAACATGTACTCTGAGTACAGTGTATTTGGGGAGTGGAGATTTTCACTTCTATCCTAAACTAGTAAACGAGTAATAGTTAAAAAAAAAAAAAAAAAAAAAAAAAAATAAATTTTTAATATTAAAAAAAAAAAAAAAAAAAAAAAAAAAGTAAGTTTCTATCCTAAAATAGTAAATGAGAGAAAAAGAATACCTACCTGCAGAAGCCATCTAGACTATTTCTACAATCACAGCGAAACCAGTCATACCTAACCTACTCATATCAGCTCTGTTAGGCTGGTCACAAAACCCTCTACCAATGAATATTGTCACCTCCTATTAAGAGGAATTGCTACAATAATATAATGCCTCAATTAACTGTAAATTGCAGCTGTGAGAAATAAATCTCTGTATTGCACTCAAATGATTTAAGATAATTCTTTTCCTAGACATTTTCCAGAACATCTAGAAATTAATTTCCAGAAATTAAGCACTTTCTAAATAATGAGAAACATAATCCAGCATTCAACAGAATCAAAGTGTTTTGTTACCTGATGCCAGCTGCTTTGACTTCATTCATTCCACCAGTTCATCACATATCTGGCATCAACACATTTCTGCAACTACTTTCACAGAAACTTCGAAGAACATCTGACAATAATCCCAGATACTGCTAACACTACAACTTTCCAGAATATATTTATTTCCTACTTGTGTCTATCTGACATGTGCTGTATAAAACACAGGAATCTGTACAAAATAAAACTAAGTTCTTCAGCCCAAAATAAATCTTCCAAAGAGGTTATAAATATTTGTGATCACTGGGGACTTTCTTAAAGAGCGTCAATAAAATAAAAGAATAAAATTGTAATTATTCTGGATCATGATTTAAGAAAAAAGTAAGAATAGATGGATCTTCCTGTTTTTCATGCTCATTTATTCAAATACATCATCCTCCAAAGCTTACTACACAAAAATTCAGAAGCAGTAGTCATCCCCCTTTATACACAATTTCCTAATAGCTAAATTCACAGACAAGCTGTAAGTAGCACAGCTTTATTCCTGAAATCATTTGACTGGCTTCATTTCAGCTGTCACTGGGGATACGAATAGAATATTAAGTCTCTCTAACACAACCTACTTGTATGAGCTTTCCCTGCAAGACTATCTTTGCTTGAAAATTAGAATTCAGGAGTGAGTCCTATTATAGTGGTTAAAATAAATAAATAGATTTCTAATGAAGTATTGACTGTAAAAAATAATCACAAAGATACACTCAAACTCGCTATCAGTGGGCTCTTCTGCATAAATCTTTGAGGCATTTTTAATTTTTTTTTAATGCACCAAAGCATCCATAAAAGCATTTATAGATGTGTATTGCCAAATACACAAGGACATGCAGCTATGGAAGACTCAAAGGATATCTGTACCTTATAAAGACCTCATCTGATATAAATGAATGTAGGTTATTCTCAGTCTGTAAAACATTTTAACATACAACCAGTGTTTTATTAAATATTTATATTTCTTACATAACATGAAAAGAGAAACTCCAACATTTTATTTTTACATTGACAAGAAACTAGGACAAAAATGTTTTGGTTGTTTTGTGTTGGAAGATAGTGGGATGGATGTGACACCTGAGTAAGCGAGGATGTGCGATAATCATATAAGGGGGAAAGTTCTAGCCCTGTTGGCTCTCAATTAAGTCCTCTTACATAGATCCATGATGGGTTGTTTCCATTGTCTCACCTAATAATTTTGGTATGATACGTATTTTACAATTATGATATCAGTAATACTTAACATGAATATACATTTACAGGCATAGTGGGTTTTTTTAGATGCAAGAAATTTCAACAACAAAATGTGTATGCTGATGTGAATCATTAATGAAAATAATCAGAACTATAAAATGATGTGAAATAAAAAAGCCCTATGGTTTCTGTCTTACCATCAGGGAATTCTACTAACATACATATTGAGATGTACTTTAGTCACATCCCACAGCAATCATACTTTACTTACCAATTTCCCCTTATATAAACAATTCAGCATGAAACAAGACAACAGAACATTGGGGAAAAATTAAAACTCAAGCCTTATTAGGATTCTAGTCAGATACACTTGCTGCTCTGGCTTCCTGCTTTTTATTTGCAGATATTTTTTTTTTCCTAAGCTCCCACAGCTGTAAAAAAAAAAAAAAAATCCAGAAATCTGCAATGTGCAGCCAGACTACACAGAAATTCTTTTGGAAATAACTGAAACAGGGTTCCTGAGATTGTGATCAGGAAAGGTATTTTTTATTACCAGTGACTGTGGCTACTGGGAGGATTTCTGCTGTAACAATTGGCATTACTTTCAAGACTGGTGATTCTAGACATGCAATAAAACCTCTGTGTAAACAGCTTCCGCACAATCTTCAGACAGTGACATATACATATCAGTCAATAGCCATTTTTCTTGCTACCACGTGCCTACAAGCGTTTCAAATTAAAACTCCGCAAACAGAAATTCCTACATATTTCATTACCTTAGGAATTATTTTTATTGCATAAGCCTTGGAACTAAATGCACACTAGCTAAGAGAGCCAATAGATGCCAGTCTATTCACTTCATTTTTATTCTCAGTCAATATGTCCTCACTCAGCTCAATCATCAGCAAATGTAATAGGGATATATGACCACAAGTGTCTGTTAAGACATGTTTTGCTCTAATCTATGTGCAAAAGATAACCTGCCCACCCCTAGATGGTTGCATAACTGACCCACTAATGTGTCCCTTGAAAAGCATAACAAGTATGACACCTAAAACCACGAAAAGCCATGTACTGCTCAAATATAGAATTAAATATGAAACTCACAAGATTTAAACAGAACTTACCACAGTTGATAAATGGATTATATAATATAAACTCTCAATCGCAGGAAACTTAGTACTAAAAAGGTCTTCGCTTCCAATACACATCACAATTTGTGAAATTCAGCACGTACTGGACTTATAATACTTGAGTGACACTCTCAGTGCAATTAAAATAACTCTCATACCTTCTAGATTTATATATAGCAAATTGGTGACATTTAAGACTATGCAAGATTGTAAGCATTATCTAAACAAATATACAGGGGATTGGTAAAATTTTGTTAATAAATTCTGACTTGAAAGGCTAGATTAAGATTAACTTTGCTTAGATCTACACACACACACAAAAAAAAAAAAAAACAAAAAAAAACCACAAAACCTTTGGTCACATTCTTCCCATGCTGTGAACCTTTACGAAATGCACAGATCAGTTTATCTGCTCATTGTGAGTGCAAGCCAGATTAGCCTTTGAGAATAAAAGACAAATTTTCAGAAGCAAAGTTTCATTCCTGGGTCTTACATTGAGATGTAGTTCAAAGTCATCTGACAGACCTTTTCCAAAAACCAGCTGTGTTATTTATATACCCTTGGGACTAGCCATTGGTTTCCATCACATGCTAAGTAAGCTCAGACTGCCTACTGCTGGTTGAACCTTTGGGGAGGCATTAGGGGCACCCTCATACAAATGTCAGTCCTTTGAGGCTGGTGGCACAGGCATCCTAGAAATATTAGCATGGTGTAGGAGTGCACCCAATCCTAAACACTAAATCATTCTAGAGAAAATTTTCATTTGAATAACCAATTCTGCATGTATTTGCAAACGCAAATATTACAGAAAGGCAACTATTTTGTCCTTGAGGCCCTGGAAGACTCCCTGCATTAAAAGCGCATGCCAACTAAGGGAGAGCACTGATAGATCCAGAAGAAATCACAGTGCTACAACTCCAAAATTTTGACAGATGACAGCCATGTAATTAAGAGAGCCAACAGTGATGCTTCATGTGGTTGGAATAAGCTGAATTCATTCTGGCTTACATAAAGATGATATAAATGGAATGCAAAAATGGAATGCGTAAGCTTTTTTTTTTTCCCCTCTACGGAAGTCCACCTGAAACCACAACAGTACGTAGCAACATTTCAGTAGATAAAAAATTTAAGCTATTAGATACATAGGCAACCTTAGGGGGGTTTTGTTGCATATGTCATTCATATTCAGATAACTTCAACTTGGGATTTCTCTTACCAAGTTTCTTAATGAAAAGCCACTGAAACCAGATAGTAATTCAGCTCATATCTACTTTTAACATGGAAAAAATGAGTGGAGTGTGAAGAATTTACGAGTATCAATGACTTCCACATTCAGCAATTAAGCTTACTCAGAGAGAGAAAATGTTTTCTATAATCCATGAAGTAAATTTACAACAGCGGAAAAAAAAGGACAACTATTCATATGGTATCTCATGATCTTTGTATAATTACAAGACAAGAAAAGAAAGTAAAGACTCAGTCATGAGATATTGACATTAGTCACACAAGCAGTAATAAATACAGTCCAGAGCACAACTTCTAGTATTATCAGTATCACATTATATTATCAATAGCATTATCATCATTATTATAACCGCAGGCCAAATATCTCTTTGAGTACTGAATAACCTAGAAAGTTACATGAGGCACTTGGGACACTATTTCTACAGCCTTAATCTTCTTGCGATGATCTTTTAAACAGTAAATTCAGCAATCTATCCTGCACACAGAACGAACACTCCTTTACATTTTGGGAGACAAATAGTTGTGTGAAAGGTATGAGATTACCATATTCTTTTAACTGACTGGAAAGCACTACAAAACAGATGTGTTTGTTTACTCATGCCAGAAAGTCCTTTTGAAACTAAAACGCATACCAGAGAGGAAGGTATCAAAATCACAGGCCTATTTTATATTTCTGGTTGCCCACAAAGACATGGTTCTACTGGAAATTCGGTACAGAGTACTCATTATCTTTCTAAATGAGTATTACTAAGTTTAAGCCACTGCAAGTCACCTTATTTGTCTCACATTATAGAATTAACAATATTAAAATATAAAATGTTTATGCTCACACAAACGAAGTCAAGATCTCACCACAGTGCAATGCATATGTGCCCAGGCAACAGGACCTTCTCCTGTTCAGCAAGGGCAGAGACCGATGACTTTGGACACCCATACAGCTATGCACAGCATTCATACATGATTTGTATGCCCACAGCAATCTAAAGACTGCTGATGCCTTTTAGGGACACATCAAAAGAAGGAGGGTATACAGAGCAGAGAAATAAAGGACTTCAAACACTCCATGCTGCAGCAATGACAACAGCAGTATGATTTT